CTTCGACCTCATGAGTAATGGTCGAGCTATCAATTGAATTCGTTTAATGAAGGATTCCGCTAATCCATTCTGTGTATGTACATGTGCTACGGGATGTTTCACACTTACCCCCATGGACATACAGTAGTCATTAAACGCTTGGGACGTGAATTCACCGGCATTGTCTAGACGTATAGTCTTAAGCGGAAAATCTGGAAAATGGGCTCGCAGTCTTATTATCTGGGCCAATAACCTAGCAAACGCTTGGTTTCTAGGAGATAGGAGACAAACATGCGACCATCTTGTCGATGCGTCAATGAGGACCATAAAGTATCTAAACGTCCCACATGGTGGGTGTATTGGTCCACATATATCTCCTTGTATCCTTTCCAGAAAATTTAAGGTCTCTTTATTTACCTTAGCCGGTGATGGCCTTATAATGAGTTTCCCTTGTGAACATGCTTCACACGTGAGATTCTTAGGGATAACTCTTTTCTCTCTTAGGGTGTGCCCCTTTGAATTAGTCATTAATTTACGCATCATATTCTGACCCGGATGGCCAAGCCGGTCATGCCATAAAGTGAATTTCTCGATGAACTCTTTGTTCATTGCCATATTAGCTTCGATCATATCGATTTTTTTAGCATAGTAGAGACCAGTGGATAATGCGGGTATAGTCTCTAGGACTTTCTTATGTCCTTTGGTGATCTCAATTATATTTAGGAATTCTTTGTTCCCTTCACCCTTTGTTTCAATATGGAAACCATCCAATCTTATATAAACTCAATAAGCTCCTTTTTGAGCTGGGTGAATACAAGGCATCGCTTAGTTCAAGATGCGTGCCCTTTGATAAAAGTATATGGGCTTGACCGTGGCCCTCAATAAGACTAGCTATACCCGCTATGGTGCTAATATTGGCATTTTTCATTATGAGATTTAGAAAGTATCTCTTGTCTTTTGTGTGGCTCCACTATCCACCACAAATATGTTCTTGTCCTCGGCCATTTCTTATATGGACAAGAATCATGTTCTGAATATAAAATAATATAAAATAAATTCAAGCAAATAACAATCAATGAACACATAAAATGCAAAGAATAACATAGAGGTTTTGATGTCGAAGTAAGATTTATTAACTTGATTCTTTTATGCAATCAGAAGTTTCATACTCTATTAGATCATCTTGATCATGTTCACCATCTTTATATACCAAATGGGCTTTAGGATCCTTCCCTTTTACACTCTCTTGATAGAGGTCACAACGATGTTTGGAAGTCCTACATATCTTAGCCCAATGGTTTCCCATTCCATATCTATGGCATACTCATTTGGTCGAGTGTTGTGGTTTGGAAATACCACATCGTCCTCGCCCTCGACCACGGCCGGAATTGGGTCTACATCCACGGTTATAGTGGTTCCCACGGCCGGATGAGTTATAGTGGCCACAACCACGTCCTTTCAATACCACATCTATGACATACTCATTTGGTCGAGTGTTGTGGTTTGGAAATACCACATCGTCCTCGCCCTCGACCACGGCCGGAATTGGGTCTACATCCACGGTTATAGTGGTTCCCACGGCCGGATGAGTTATAGTGGCCACAACCACGTCCTTTCAATACCACATCTATGACATACTCATTTGGTCGAGTGTTGTGGTTTGGAAATACCACATCGTCCTCGCCCTCGACCACGGCCGGAATTGGGTCTACATCCACGGTTATAGTGGTTCCCACGGCCGGATGAGTTACAGTGGCCACAACCACGTCCTTTCCATCCACCACGGTCACGGCCGTGTGGTCTATCACTTTAGACGTGGTTAGATTCTTTGGATTCTTTCTTATCCTCTGCGGCCTTATTGGCATTAGGTAATGGGGTTAATCTATGAGGTCGTAATTCACTGTTTTTATCAGTAACTCATTATTTTGCTCATCTAGCAATAGACTCATCCACGGACTTATAGTCCTAGATTATGAGACTCTCAATAAGATGGTGGCTAATATTGCCTTGTATCTATCTTTCTCTCTTGGCATTATTGCCTTATTAGATACATTCACCAAGTCCTTTTGACTTTAGGATAATCTTAGTATCCATTGCCCATTTTAAATAATTATCTCCTAAGAGATTTAGGGCAGTAAAATACAAGTTGTAATTCAACATCTACAAGGAAAAGTTTTGAGTCAAAATCATGTAATCGTTAGTGTCATGCGGTATTTGAGACCGAACCATGAATCGATTTACTTAGGGATTTGACTTTCCTCTTTTGCTTAGGATTAAATTTCCTCTTTTGCTTAGGATTAGATTTCCTCTTTTAATTAGGATTAACTTTCCCTTTTCCTTTTAGGATTTACTTTCCTCTTTACTTTAGGATTAATTTTCCTATTTCACTTATGATTTTAGGGTTTTCAGATTTCCTATTTTGATTAGGGTTTTAGGGTTTATGCAACATGAGGGATTTTATCTCTTTAACAATTCATGCATGCAACCACAGAAACAATCAAACTAAAACGCCCTAAGCAAC